CTGGGCCCAGTTGTTCAAAGGCCGATTAGCTCTAACCCAGGGTTAAATTTTAATCCAGGTTTCTAAATTTCTCTAATCAAAAGCCATTTTGGGATAATTTTCCTAGTTCTTTTTAGGACATTCAATCATCAAATTGTAGACAAATGGAATTAAGCTGAATTTTCTTTCAGAGCTTTCAGATCTGAAATCAAATTTCACACTAACCCTGGGTTATCTTAACACAGCTTTGAACAACCCGGCCCAGATTACAAGATCAGTTTCTCAGCGGAAGGTACATATCTAAATCCAGCAGCTTTCTCTTCCTAAAATTATTCTCTTTTGCCGGTTTCACGATCCCACCATCATCAAAACCATTCGACAAATAAATTCAAGAATCAGAGAGATGAAAGAAGATGAATATTCAAAAAGAGTCGCAAAGATTCAGGTCTGAGCGATGTCTCGTGCGGGAGAAAATCGAAGGATTTACTCAAATTCATAATCCTCTGAGAGGCACGACTGTGGTGGCCGGAAGCTAACAAAACCCTACGTCGGCGAGTTTCGCTATAAAAAGGTTACAGTCGCCTTCTAAGGGCTCATAAACATCTGTACGAGTACCTATTCTCATGCAAGGGCTACTGAGATTGAAATTTCAGCGGTTAAGTCATTTTTTTATTCTCGCTTCGCCAGAAATTTTTTTTTTTCGCGCGAGCGGCCATTGTTAGCGCGGGGAAAAGTAATATATTTTGCGACAATAATGGATACAAACAGAGACTCGGCCTACTAGTTGCAAAACGAAGACAATTTTTGGACCTTTTCCCTTGGGCTAGAGTTCTTAAATGAGGCAGAAAAAGAGAAAAAACAACGGAAAAGGAGACTCGGCATCAGCGCCGTCATGATTCGCTTCAATTGATATTGTCCGTTTTTCGCGCGTCTTATTTGATGCACAATTCCACCGGCTATGTTCTAAAACAATTGGTTCATGCTTTCAGCTGTGCACTATCGAGTTATGGAGCACGCGAGAAGTTTGAAGAGCACGAAAGAAGCGTAAGAGTTGCCCGAGGCAATAGCCGAGGGCAATTCTAGCTTCTTGAGTGTTCTCCAAACTTCCCACGTGCTCCAGAACTCGATAGTGCACAGCTGAAAGCATGAACCAATTGTTTTAGAACATAGCCGGTGGAATTGTGCATCAAATAAGACGCGCGAAAAACGGACAATATCAATTGAAGCGAATCATGACGGCGCTGATGCCGAGTCTCCTTTTCCGTTGTTTTTTCTCTTTTTCTGCCTCATTTAAGAACTCTAGCCCAAGGGAAAAGGTCCAAAAATTGTCTTCGTTTTGCAACTAGTAGGCCGAGTCTCTGTTTGTATCCATTATTGTCGCAAAATATATTACTTTTCCCCGCGCTAACAATGGCCGCTCGCGCGAAAAAAAAAAATTTCTGGCGAAGCGAGAATAAAAAAATGACTTAACCGCTGAAATTTCAATCCCAGCGTGCACTATCGGGATTTTGAGCACGCTTACGTATACTGAATTTGATTGCGCGGCTTTGCTAGCTATGTTCTAATTTAATATCGTGTCCCGCAAAAGTTTAGAAATTCAACCTTGCTTTATCGCACGACGAAAAACCCTATCAAGTTGAAAATTTGCAAAAAGATAAACCTTCAGCTGTTCTAAAAACTGACTAAACTAAAATCTCGAAAGGTTTGATAATTCCTTATTTTTTTTCTTTTGATGACGTCACGTGAAAACGAAGAATACACTTCACCAGCCGGGCTTCGAGTCTCTAAAATCCTGAGCTAACTAAATGTACTTTAGCTACAAGTTGCAAAACAGACAAACGACAAGAGCAAACAAAGAAGCAACAATAACTGTAATTACCTGAATTGATGAGCATTCCCATCAGAATCTTGTGGTATCTGAAAAGTTCAATTTAACACTACAGGGGCGTTAATTTTATTATAACTATTGCGGTGAAAGATACAGTGAGAAAAAATTCACTTCATTGTTGTCATTTGAAGAGAGAATTGTGAGGAATTAAGTATATCAATTGCATATTCATCTATAGTGCCCCACAGTCTCCCAAATTACGGGACAGGTGCAAGAAACAATTTCCTGCCTCAATGTTTGGTGTGGAAATGCAACCCACTGGATAACAAGAAGGGCCTTATTTCTCAGTTTAGGAAATTGTTAGAAAAGACACCATTACCCTATATAACCTTGAGCTCAGAATGCTAAAAACCGCAAATGAAGAATGTTACATTTGTACGCTTTGCGCTTGTCTTTCAGCGGTGAAAGAACAAACATACACAACACCAGAAGAATTGTAAATCGTTTATTGATTGCCTCATTGCTATTTTTTACAAGTAAAAGGAATATTCTCCTTACAACATCCATGTCTCAGCACCAGATTATTTCGCTGGACATTAAATTGGTATGAAAATTGAATATAACCCGACATAAGGAAAGAAATATACATTTCTATACTCTATATTGACCTTATATTGCACATATTGACGGTAAAAAAACGTACAACATCAAAGAACCCAAAATGTCTTTGGACAAAATAATTAAATATGAAAAATTACATCACCTCTTGTTACAGATACGAAATATCGAGCACTTTCAATTGGTCTCTACTTCAAAACATTACAGCCTTATATTTGCTCTGTTCAATAACTTTCCAAAACTAGAGATTTCTGTCATGCTTGCCTTACAATAGCAACAGCTTATACACAACACTTGTACACAACGGCTTGTACACAACGCTTCTCTTACACAAATTGCTGTGTCACAGCGCGCAAAATGACTTCACACCATTTCTTTACCAAAGTAAAATAGCTGATTAGCTTTTAGGTTTTACTTTACAACAACACATTTTAAATCTTAACATATATATTCTTGCTTTGGCCTTTGGGCAGCGTAGAAAAGTATTTATTGAGTAAAAATTTATCAGTTTAGTTATTCATTTATTCAGCGACTGAAGCCATCGACAAGTGACGAATCTTCCTTCATTCTGTGGGGAAAATCAAAAAAATCTATTTAACCCTTGTGGTCTTTATTTCAACCCTGAATTTCTTTCATCTTTATCCAAAGCTACGAGTAATAAAAATTTATTAAAAACTGGATCATTGGATAATGCAATTCAAGACTTTTTATTGGCTTAGCCATTATGGTATATGAGCCAATATGCCATAATCTACAAATATGGTAAGCGTACGCGTCAGCTTAAAATCAAAAGGGAGCTAAAAAATCCAGTTTCTTCTTACAAAATAATACTGGGGGCGTTTTTAATAAAAACAATTATTCCACTCCCGCTTGTTGGATACGAGATGATTATAGCCAACTCGGCGCTACGCGCCTCGTTGGCTATCTATCATCTCATATCCAACGCGTGCCCGTGGAATAATTGTTAATAAGCAAAGTAGGATTTGGCTCAGGGGTGGTGCCACTCAAAAAAGCCAAATGGAGTTTTAATAAAATAATCGTGTCGTTTATTTTCCTGCAGAGAGCAAGTCTTTTAAAACACTTCAGCTTAACGTCTTTGAGAAGAACTACTGTGACACGGACTTCACGCATAAAATTTTTTTAAATAAATTCATTTTAAAGGTGCCTTTAAGTATTTAAATAAGAATATCAGAATTACAGTTCATACGGATAAGAATTCATTAATAAGATAAAATAAATAAACATGTTTTCTTTTTTTTATGTTTTTAACTAAATAAGAAAACTGCTGACAATTGATTAGTGATGATAAAGATTTCATTTTAAACAGTTATCTGACGAAAATTCAACATAACCTTTAAAAAGTATTTATCGTCGTGCGGTGCATAGACATAAATTTGATACTAACAAAAATAGAACAATCTTCGAGTACAACACCATCGGGTTCCCCATAAAAGAAATGCAATGTCTCTTGGAGTCGACATCAATGATTCAAACTGCCAACGAGGCCAATTCGAATGAAAAAGGATGAGCGTTAAAAATAACTAATAAAAAAATGAGCGTTTCCACGAGCAGCTCCTTTTAAACTCCGGCTTCAAAATTTGTAGCGTAGATGGTGAACGGTTTTGCACAGCAGTAATATCGGATATATTTTCGCTTGAGGATGATTGTAGAGAAGTGGACAACGCGAAACGCAGAAAGAGGGTGTGGGAATTACCATTTTAAAAACGCGTACAAGTAACAAGTATTAAGGATTCTAACAGCTTCGAATTTCAGGTGATAAAGTTTCGGTCGTTCAGTCTTTGAAATTGAACACATAAGGATCGTTGATGCATGAATGAACACAAATAGCTAGTTACACCAACATAAGTCTACAAAACCCGATTTCTGACTAGCCTCGCTTTCGTGCAACCTAACCCAAACCGACCAAGGAGTCCGCCATATTTGCATTTGGTGTACTGCCTAAAGCTAAAAGGAGTCGGCCTTGTCTTGGATGAAATATTGGTAAGGTTCAATACAGCGGTATCATGTCGGGAATGCGCAAATCGATCAACTTTGGCCGGCCGCGCGACAGTTTCCGGCGCAAAATTTAAAAAAAAATATAGGCAACTGCACAATTTTCATGCTGCACAATAAGGCCTGGGTAAGATAAGAACTTGTTTAGCTTACCAATCAGGAGAAGTAACACCTTCCTCTTGACTTCCTAGAGGTGACACACTCAGACCAGAACTCGAACCAGACCCCGTAGAATGTCTGGGTGAGTCGTTCTCGGGAAGATTTAACAAATCCTACAACACGAAACAAATAACACGTATAAGACGAGATTATATAAACTAATCAGCAAAAGGCGTTAGGATTTGTTGGCAGTGGAGAAGCAGCAAGGCAGCAGCTAGGGGCCATTAACTCAAAGTAAGAGTGTGCGCGGGAAAAAAGGGAAACAAACAGACAAAACAAAACGCCAAGAAAGCCAAGGAGAAGATATTAATTGGAGGTCAAAAATTGGAAATTCAAATCAGATCCTTGAAGATAGAGGTTCAATCGAGAGTCGCGGTGCAATAAGACAACGAGGTAAGCAATGGTGAAATGCAAGCCTTGATTTAGGTTTCAACTTCCTTGCTTAATTTTACTCCTAATATCTTGATGAAAATTCATCCTGACTGTCTGTCGTACATTTCTTGTAAATTTTTATCTGAGAATTTGCTGTTGGATCAAAAGATAACCCTTTCGTTGATAATTTTCTTTATTCTCGTCACTTGTCTGCTGATATTGTATTGATATTGTAAGGAGAAACTCTGTCTTGATCACTCACGGGGGCGAAAGGGTTAACACGTACGACATGATCTTTTACAGCCACTTGTTAAAAACTAATTAACAATAAATTCCCTTAAAGTGCACCTAAACCCAAAAACTTTTTTTCGCTTAATGAAATAAGCGTATTTTTTGGAGTGTTTCTGTGCAAAAATTTTTTTATTTGCTCAAATCTTCAATTTTCTGTGCACGCTCGAAATACGGAAAATCGGCCACCATCTTGCCCCACGACCGAGTTTAAAGGGGAATGGCTCTAGCAAGTAATGTGACGTCAAATCGAGAACACGAAAGTCTGCATTTCACACATTTTCACTTGTTTGGGAAGATTGTAGTCGATAATGTCTGAAAATATGCCGACTAAGTGTGTTGTAGAAGGATGTAGCAACGTGCGAAATTTGGAAGAGGGTATCGCGCTTCATACATTCCTCATACAACACACCTAGTCGGCATATTTTGGACAATATCGACGACAACCTTCCCAAACAAGTGAAAATGTGTGAAATGCAGTCTCTTGTGTTCTCGATTTGACGTCACATTACCCGCTAGAGCCATTCCTCTTTAAACTCGGTCGTGGGGCAAGATGGCGGCCGATTTTCCGTATTTTGACTGGGCACAGAAAATTAAAGATTTGAGAAAATTAAAAAATTTTTGCACAGAAATACTCCAAAAAATAAGCTTATTTCGTGAAGCGAAAAAAATTTTTGGGTTTAGGTGCATTTTAAAGACCTTTGACATAGATACAAACATACTAGTGCTAAAAATCACTCATTTGAGTGCAAAGCTGAGACAACAAACCAAGTTACTGACACAACGCGCGATTATTTCGGTTAGCACAGCTAACAGTTTAATTTAACTTAAAAACAGCATGAAATTACAGTTAAGTTAAATAAGTTAGAATTTCGACATAAGCGTAAAAAAGGACATTCGGTTAAATTTAAAAGACATTACAGTGGTTAGGGTTAGCTTGTCTTCAACACAAAAGCTGTAGCACTTTTTAAGGCGCTAGTACAAAACCATTCAAATTGAGAAATAAGGAGTAAGTTTCTGGAGAAACTGTGGTGCTGCGTCGGTGGAAGGTATTGCAAGATAAGTTGGTTTTATCAATTGAGTTGATAATGAAAATTGGCCAATGAAAAAGTTTCTCAAACTGACGTTTCGAGGATTAGCCCCTCGGTCAGAGCGAATGTTAAACTTACAGTTCACCACAAATTATGGGGACCAGAAAGGACAAAAAGGAAATAAAGCTAATTCCATTCTAGGGTGTGTCAGTCGATTAAAACGAAGGTGTTCTAGTGTTGGTTGAAAATTAACTACTTTCCAGTACCCAGCCAAAGTCAACTATCAGGTGACTTTGGCAAAGTCATCTATCAGCCATCAAATACTCTAAAATAAGATTAGTGATCATTTGTTGAACTAACAAGCAGTGGCGAACGAGCCGTACTCCACGAAAACCTTAGCGAACCAGTGACATTCTTGCTCATCGACTAGCCAATACGGAAAATTTCTCCCGTTACCTCCAAATTCATAACAAAAAAATCCCGAACAACTTTTGGTCAACTCGTCCGAACAGTGACCTGGGTTACTACCTCAGCTTCGTCCATCAGAAAAATCAAACAAAAAAGTTACTATGGCTACAAACGCCGACCCGTGAATTTGTGCTGCCACCGTCATAACTCGGTCCCGCATGCCTTTTACTCAACTCCAACGCCAAAGCCAGATGCCTCTGCTCGTCCGCTACACTTTTGGGTCTCAAGGTATTGAAGTACTAAACAAGAAAACAGCGCTCATATCACAGGTGATATCAACCCTACTGCTTTCATACTAAAGTTTCTTTCTTTTTGTTTTCCTCTTTTTTATCCCTGCAGAACAGACGTCAGTTATTGCGTTTTACAAGCATGCAAGCACGAGGCGACCGCAAGGCAAGCGTGAGACGACCGCGAAGTAAGCGCAAAGAGACCACAAGGTAACCGCAAGGTAACCGCGAGGCGACCGCGCGGTACCACGAGGCGATAGGAGGTAAGCACGAGGGAAGCATTATGCAAAGCGAGAAGCAAGCACATGGCGAGCGGAGGCAAGTGCAAAACAAGTGCGAAGCGAGCGTGAAGCAAGCGTGAAGAGAACACGACGTAAGCACGAGGGTCAAGTCGCACTCCTCGCCTTTTGCTTCCCTTAGATCGGTTGAGTACGCAAAACGATGACGCCTGTTCATTAGGCTATCAATTTTACGCGAACCAAACTCAATGGAAGAGCACAAAGGAACTCATATTTCCCTTTTTTCTTTGTTACCTGTGCATAATTGTCGAGATCGGCAGAGAGCCGGTTTGAACTATTTGCCACACGTCCATCATTCGAAACATCTTCCGCTGACCGGGTAGATGATGATCGCGGTCTGGGAACTGGTGGAGAGGCTTCAGCAGAACTTAACAAGAAAGAAACGAGATAAAAAGTCAAAACTTAAATCTTACCGTTGGTTTTGTTGGTTTTCCCTTCCATTTCTCAATGAACAGAAATATAGGCAAAAGTACCTGTTAACAACATTCATGGACGCCGTTCTGCCATTTACCATTCCTTGCGCGGGTCCAGCCGGTTTCAGACCCCTCGCTGCCACGTTGGGTCGAGTCATGAGACTGGGATTTGCAGTGACAGCGCGCTTGGACCTGGGACCTACTGAAGTATTACGTGGAACCACTGTTTGAAAAAAAGTTATCAATATGAGTATAAATAAACATATAAATAGATTTATAGACAAGAAAATCGCGAAGGCATGATACATAAAATAACTTAAACCAAAAAGGACAATACCTTGAGGAGGTTCCTCCTCAACCCCGCGTTGACCCTAAAACGAAAAATTATTGATGTTAAAAGCTACCTTTACATACATACATACATAAGTTAATTGACCACTCCCCATAGGGGCTTTTTAGGGCCAACACCCACCCATCCCACCTGCGTGAGAAATTACGTCTCCTACCCCTAACCCTGCCAGGATACGGGGCTTACGATTTAAAAAAAGGAAAAGAAAAAAAAAACATCAATTTTCAGATCCCAAAAATCATGTCAATCAGTAATCTCGTGCGTGGGAAATTAACGTCTCCTACCCCAAACCCTGCAGGAGACGGGGCCTACGATTTATTCGTCCTTATCCGAGAAGACTAGAATATCTATCCAATTCTTGATTATAGAAAGGTAGCAAATTCTCCTCACTTATTTTATATACCATGAGTATTGGTCCGAGACCATGAGTTACCCATAATGAGTTATGAAAAGTCGCAAATGTATTTGCTTCTTTAGCTTAAAAGCACCTGAACCCAATTTTGTCAGGATAGTGTCCCCGGTTTTAGCTCAAGGGTAAGTCCTGCAGTTCATGTCCACTTCTTTATCCCTCAGTAAAAATATTTGCAAGTGATTTATATTTCACCTGTCTTTAACCCTTAAACTCCCAGAAGGGATTAACATGAAACTTCTCCCTAAAATATCCTAACATTATCCAGCAAACAGGTAATGCGAATACCCAAGCTTATCAGAAAGAAATGGTTTATCTTGATCTCACACCAAATTCTCACAACTCATTTGCAAGGAAATGTGAAGCCGCTAGAAGGGATAATAAACAATCAGATCATGGCAGTTAAAGGATTCATGGCCATAGGGACTAACCGATGGTAAGTCTTTGATGATTTGGAATCCATCCCCAGGCCCCATATGAGAGATATGGTTGAAATTGGTTGGTGCTGAGATAAGCTTGGATCTGATATCCGCATCCATATCTGCTAAGCCACCCTCTTTGTTTTTAAATCCAAATCGGTATGAACTACTGCAGACAAATAAGATGAAACAAAGATAAGTTCCCAGAGAGTATCACCGAGGTACTTCCGTTCGAGTAGAAAACCACATGGAGATTTCTTTTCAGAACGACCCTTTTGAAAAGGGTCGACTTCTACTTGGGAGAAAATGGATTCTTCAATTTGCGGAAACAAACTAATCAAATTGGAACAATCATTTTCCAGGAATTCCGGTAAAATCGAGAGAAGCTGAAAAAGAATATTAATGGAGGAATTCTTTTTTGCTTCATTATCGAAAACATTTCTCGAAAAACGATGTACCATTTAGTTTCCAACCCGAGTTTCCGTTCAGAGGGAAAGTGCTCATGTTCTGTGTTAGATAACCAACCAATGAATGAAAAAATGAAAAAAGAAAGAGTCTCGTTTAAGATCAAGGTTTAAACCCGATGATGTTCAATCTCGGATAACCTTAAGATAACAAGCTATTCTAGACAACAAGTCTCTGAGACATGCTACTCAGGGTTAACTGCTTCCAAAAACTGTTGCTCAGCTGTGATTATTCATGTAGGAATGTGATAATGTTACACTGTAAGAAATGAAACATTTGGGTCAGAAGCCTCAAACCAACCTCCTCTTGCTGCTTTTCAGTCTTAAAATAGCAGCTAGGGCTTTCTTTCCTTTAGTGGGGTCTGGAATGATCAGTTCCTCTTCTGTAAAAAAAAAGACAAACACACAGCAATAATAAAAAAAAATCGCAACAAAAAAAATTGCAAGTACTCCCATACACACCATGACACCAGAATACATATTCTCCATAGTTTTTTCTACACACTTCCTATGGAACTCGCAAGGAGAATTCGTGTAACAATCAAAGCTTCTTAGGTAGGCGATAATTTCCTTTACATTCATGATCTTAAAGATTGATTCAGCTGTTTTACTAGACGGAGAAATTAGATGCTGGTCACTCTTTGGATTTTAATAATTCATGTTCAAGAAAATAACTAATAGTTGAAATAAGAGAATATACAAACCTTCATACAAAGTATTCCTCAGGTAAACTAAATTGCACTGTTCTGAGGCGGTGCACAGAGCCAGTGATCCATCGTTGATCAAAGCATGACACTGTAAGAAAGAAACAGAGTACCGATAGTCATTGAAGAAGCGTTTCCTAACAAGGATCACTGACAATAGACCACATTTCGCTTAAGCATTGTTAAAGCAATACTAAAGTAATTATAGTGGCCAATCAGAAGAAAGGGAAACACCTTTGAGAGCCAATGAGAACTCAAAGTAAAAACAATCAAACCGCAGAAAGCGCGGGAAAACGCGGGCTACCAAGAAAAGCGCGGAAAAATGCTGGCGACCAAGAAAAGCGCGGGAAAATGCTTGCGACCAACAAAAGCGCGGGAAAATGCTGGTGACCAAGTCGTGATTGGTTTTAGTGTTACGTCTATTGGTTGAGAGTGGCACGAGTTTTCTGAACAAATCACAGTGCGAAGTAAAGCAAAACAAATTCAATTCCGGATATTGACATTCAATTGAACATTGCTCTAAATAACCCTGACTACACAGTTTAAAGTTAAATAGCTATGGGTGATTCGAACAGAAGTATGTCAAAATTCATCGCGTTGGTTAATATTTCTCAGTCAAGAATCCAAGCCTCTTTTGCGCTCTCTCTCTCTCTCGAATGAAAAGGACTTGCAAAATTAAATTCTTAACAATGAACCATTTCTTTCAGAATCCAAAAATACATCTACCTTTTTGAGCGGTATGGTCTGCAGCCATTCGGCATTACTCGAGTCAAAGATATCTATTGCTCTCTCACTGAAGGAAATCACGTACGGATGTGAAAACGCTAAAATAGAAGAAAGAAGACACTATTTCTAAACCTCCAAGTTTCAATAGGTTAACCTTAACTTCTTTCTCCAAACAGCAGAGGTATCAATACACTTTAGACACCTATGACATTTACTGAGCTTTAAAAAAAAACCATCCTTAACAAACAGGTTCATTTGAAATGTCATCAAACCCTTCACATTTTCCACCACTTCTGTGATTTGTACTGCTTTCGAACACTTTCCAAAAACTTAATAAATGGCGCACAAAAGAAGATCTAACTCGATTCTCAAAACAGTTGCATTGTTTTCAATATTTGTATCAACAGTATTGTCTCGCAGAATCTGGTAGAATTTACTAGTTTTTTTCTTTGACACAGAAAACTTAATATTGTTTTGTTTTACTAAATAAACTCACCGACATTTGTTGGCGGTGATGGCCACATCAGCTCATAATGTCTAGATCTGTAACCACTTTCGTCAACAAAGATTCCTAGTACTAAGAAAAAAGTATACATATTTGGGTCTCGTCAACGCATAAACGTGTTTTCCTTCTCTAGGAGGCGAAATTTATAGTCACTGGACTAAGTGTTCATTTTAGTAGTCAATGGAGAAGGAAAAAAAAAAAGGAAAAGAAAAAAAAAACATCAATTTTCAGATCCCAAAAATCATGTCAATCAGCTCGCGGGCAATTATCTGGTTCTGTGTGAAGACGTAGGGTCGAAGACAAGGCCCTGGGCTCTAGTGTGGTGACTTCACCGAAAGACTACCTCATTTCCTCAAGGACTCGCATTCAGACTAGGTTTACACTAGAGGAGAGTTTTCCGGATTCGTAAATGTTTCCGGATTCATCAATTTTGGAGTATTCGGATTCGTAGGCGTTTACCCTAAAAGGATATTCGGATTCCTGACCGTTTACACACAACGACAACTCCAGGAACATTTGAAATGGAATGGTTACCAAGCCCAGTGTTGTTTCGTCGTTCGATCGACAAAGTGAAAATGCCTCCCCCAAAAAAGGCTAGAGTAGATCCAGATGC